AAACAAAGGAGGAGGCTACAATGCTTGATAAGAAATGTACTCATTATCTTGCCTATGTAATTGTAACCCCTCTGTACAGTATTTTCACAATAAAAAAAAGAATATGTTTTTTGGTGTCAAAATCATAAAGAGCAATCATAACTACTAATGGAGTAACCTAATGGGTAAAACAATTTTTCTGGTCAACTTTCCTTCTGCAAATTTGTTTACTTGGTCATCAAAATTTATATACTGAGCAGCTTTTTTTTTTTTTTTGGTGGGGGAAGAATCAGTTGAGGTAATTGCTGGAAAAACATGGAGATATATTATTCTGAAAAATGAATCTAGAGTTGTAATCCTTATGAAGAAAATTATTAAAGGATTATATTCTTTAAACATATCAGCTTCATGTAAGTTTGAATTTAACTCTGTGTGAATTTAACGCTAAGTGTGAATGTATACAATGAGTGCGTGCTATTTTTACTGCCTTTTTCCTGAAAGTTGTGCAGGCCTAGGAGAGAGAAAACAGCTTCAGGATTTGTGGTTAATTCAGAACTTTTCTTGGTGCATTTGACTGTTACGTCTTTAATTCTAAAAAAAAGAAAGAATTTGTAGATTAAAAAAAGATATTATGTTGAAAACAAACTACAAGTTTGTGGGGGGCAGTTGGGGAGGTGGGGAAGGAAGGGATGGTATGGGAAAACAAAGGAGGGAGCAACAATGCTTGATAAAAATGTACTCATTACCTTATGCATGTAACTGTAACCCCTCTATACAGTATTTTTACAATAAAAACATATTAAAATATTTTTTCATTTAATCCACTACTTCTGCTATTTTTTAACTACTGAGACCCTGACTCAAACTCTACCTGATGCTTTCACTCATTGGCTAGTGCTCTAAAAAGCATAAAAAATCAGAAACATTATCAGAACATTTAGACAGATGTTTGCTTATAGTTTGTGGCACCTTTTTTTTTTTTTAATCACAGATATCCTTTCTGTAGGCATAGCCCTGGCAATAGTGAGGACCTGGTTACTGTACAAAACTTTCACAAATTTTACAAGAGGAGAATTTATTCTTTCCATATGGGCCCAATTTTGCTTTTTTTTTTAAAGTCAAACCTTTATTTTTGTTCAACTTTCTTCCAGCACATTCTGTGGTATACCCAGCACTATCCTTCTAGATGGCTAGAATTACAACAGAATCAAGTTTCTTTTTATACTTTCCAATCCTTCTGCTGACAGTTCCCCCAGCTACAGAAACAGAAACAGCTTGAAAAACATTAACACTATCTGTTTGTGCTAGGCATAGAACCCAAGCTTTGTGTGTATTAGGCAATTCAAATTTCACTTCCAACACTATCTTGGGTGTGTGTGGTGGGGAGTAACTGAGGTTTGAACTCAGGGCCCCATGTTAACTAGGCAAGCACTGTACCACTTGAACCATGCCTCCAATACTATCACTTCATTTCTTGGCTGTACTCTTTCTCTCTCTGTTGTTTCATTGTGATATTATTTCCATACATCGATATAATGCACTTTGATCCAACTATGATACAACTTTGCTGAATTTTCATATTTGCCCACCAGTTCCCCCCTTTAATTACCCTTGTCTGTAAAAGTCATGTGGGTTCATCACTGGAAGGGGACATTATACGCTTTTGCTAGATGTGTGTGCAGAGTTTGAATGGCAAAGGCACAGAAGCCAATCACCAGCAGAGTTTGAAAGAAACACTGTGATTAGTCAGTGGTGATTCACATCTGTTATATGCATGGTGATTTGTCTGAAGAGCAAATGGTAGGGTTCATGGTTTATATAGTATTAGATCATATGAGGGTAGCTAAAATTTGAGTCTCACTGTTGGGGAACTTGGTATTCTTTAAACTGTGAAAATGGATATTTATACATATTGAATCTTGTGCAAAGCAAGGTCTGCCTGTGATAGTAAAGCTTAAAAAATTTTAGAGTTTATTATTATGTATTAAGATGAAAAACTCTAGAGTTTTTTAAAATACTTTTTTATTGTAAAAATAGTGTACAGAGGGGTTACAGTTACATGAGTAAGGTAATGAGTACATTTCCTTTTGAGCATTGTTACCTCCTCCTTTGTTTTTCCCCTACCATCCCTTTTCTCCCCACCTCCCCAACTCCTCCCTCCTTCCCCCCCCCCACAAGTTGTAAAGTTCGTTTTCAACATAGTGTCTTGTATATGGTATTGTTACAATGGTTCCACCTGTATTCCTATTTTTTAAGCATTTTATATTAAGTGAAGTAAGCCAGACCCAGAGAAACATGGGTTCCGTGGTGTCCCTTATTTGCAAGAACTAGTATATGTTGAGGACAAGCAGAAACGGTGAAAAACCATGTATATATGACCATATAAGATGTTAAGTGAAATGAACCCCAAGACAGGTCATCAGTGTTTTTTTCTTTCTTGCTATTGTTTTTAATGTACTTATAATGTACTATGTGATTTTTTTGTTTCTTTTTTATGTTCTTCCCCCATGGTATAACCCATTTTCACTGCATTTGATTCCAGTGCCCTGCATCTTGTATGTACACATTTCTAATTTGGGGAGGGAAAGGGAAAAAACTCTAGAGTTTTTAAGCTGTGCCTTTTAGACCAGAATCCCACTGTCTGAATTTCTTCTAGGAAGACACACCTTGTGGATATCCCTATCACCAGTAACAACTGCTTCCCAAGTACCGGCACAGTGGTGTAATTTAGTGCCAATTCGACACTAAAAGGGACAGCACTTTGAGAATCATTGGGAACAAACAAACAGGAACTCAATCATCTGCTCTCAATTTCGTCAACTACTGGATACAAAGGCCTGATACAGATACTAGCCTATGGGTTTTATGACATGGTATAACAGCAACTGAGGGCAAATCAGAGTCAGGACAAAGGTGGCTCCACTGGTCCATGGAAGCAGCACAGCATGGGAAGCGCATGGGACACCATAGACGCTCCTGGCCATACAAAGCCAGCATGCATGGCTGGGCATTTAGCTCAGTTAGCCATGGCAGTTAGCCCATGGCTTCTGTAGGGAGTACTTGATGTTCTATGCAGACCAAATTGCAAAGCACATTACCCAAAGGTTGAATGAGTAAAAACAAGGCAAACAGCACTGCTAAAAACAGAGCACTACAAACATTAGCAAATAAACAATGCCAGTCATAGAGAGCTAAGGATTAGCCATAGTGCCTATTCATAGTTCAGTCATGCCTACTAAATTCAAATTACAGTAGAATTTGGGAGTGAGTTATTACCATTAAGAGTAATAGAAGGAAGACTCACAATCTTGGGGATTCTGGAAGACTAATAACCCATCAAATACTTCTACCAACTTGGGAGGCAGAAGATTAGAGGATGATGGTTTGAGACTAGCCCAAGCATAAAAGTTCATGAGACTTTTGGCTGTGTACAGTGGCACATGCTTGCCATCTTAAGCTACTAGGGAAGCAAAATGGTTGGTTACAGTGGTATACACCTGTTACCCCACAAACAAAAAGAAGACAAATAGAAGATTGCTGGCCCAGGCATAAAAAGTGCTTTTTTAGGGGTGGCGGGGGTGGGGGAGCTTGAAGTTCGGGTCTGTGCACTGTACCTGAGCCTCTCTGTGCTCGAGGCTAGCGCTCTACCACATGAGCCATAGTGCCACTTCCAGTTTTTGAGTGGTTAATTGAAGATAAGAGTCTAATGGGTTTTTCTGCCTGGGCTGGCTTTGAACCACGATTCTCAGATCTCTGCCTCCTGAGTAGCTAGGATTACAAGTGTAAGCTACTGGCATCTGGCTAAAAGAGCTTTTCTCTTAAAAAAAAAAACTAATACAAAAAAAGATGGGTGGTCTAATTCAAGTGGTAGTCTCTGCTTAGCAAGCATGAGGTCCTAAATTAAAAATACTGTCAACACCCCCCCCAAAAAAACCAATTTAACACCAATAACAAACACAAAAACCAACCAAACAACAATTTAAAAAAAACCTTGCATTATTGCAAAAAGTTTTGGTCTTTATTTTTCCTTTTTTTTTTTTTGGCAGTACTTTGTTTTGTTTTGTTTTTGGTACTAGGGCTGAACTCAGAACATTGCACCTGCTAGGCAAGCACTATGCCACTGAGCAGTACTTTGAATTTTTAATTTATGGTCTTGTGCCTGCTTGGTAGAGACTCAATTGCTGAGCAGTAGCTCTAGCGCTTTGTTATGGTAGCTCTTCTTGAGATAGTGTTTTACTTTTGCTGGGCACATCTGGACCATGATCTGCCCACTTTAAGCTTCCTATAGTTGCTAGGATGACAGGTCCATGATACTATACCCAACTTCCCTTCATCGAGATAGAATCTTGTAGACTTTTCTGCTTGGGCTGGCCCAGCCCACAATTCTCTCAATTGTAGATCACCAAGTAGCTAGGATAACAGATATAAGTCACTGGCTCCTGGTTTATTTTTCATTTTTTAAAAATCAGCTGCTATTTGTTGCACAGGGTACTCTTTGACAGTCTGTGCCTTGCCCAGCCTGCCACATTCTGTCAGCCAGTTGGGCCCCCACTCACCTGGTGCAGGGATAAATACTGTCACTGGCTCACTGAAAGGCCCAATTCCCCCTTTGGTGATGGCTGCAATTCTCACTGTGCATGTGGCATTATAGACTTGAACAGAAATTTGAGCCTGGATGTCATTCTCACCAACTTCTTGAGAGAGCTCTTTCTGAGGACAGAAGAAAAATCACATCAAATAAATCAAATTACTGATGCATAGGGTCCATTGGCTACTTGCCCGGTTACTCCAGGGAAAAGTCGCCCATGCCCCAGGGGGAGGGTCGCCATCTTTCCTCAGGGCTCCTTCCTTACTCGAGCCTCACCCAGTGCAACTGGAAGGTGGGCTGCCAGCAACTCAGACCTTGGAAGCCTTAGCAAACTAGGATCCTGAGGGCACAGCAGTTACAGGGGTCAGTAAAGAAGCTTCTAGAAGACAGAGATTATATATTGGATGCTTCCTGATGGCAAGGGTGAGGTTGAACCCTGAGACTACCATCTGAACAACTTCTTCAGAACAATGCTGAAAGTCTCTCTGCGCTCCCCAGTGGCCAGCTGCCCTTGAATGAATGCAACTGGGTTCCTGTTCTTTCTAGAAAAATAATCATGTGAAGTAAGCCAAACCCAAAGAAACATAGGCTCCATGGTTTCCCTCATTTGTAATAATTAGTTTATGCCTAGGATAGTCCTAGCAGAGGATCATAATAGCTCAATAGCTATGTACATATGACCATATAAAATGATGCTAACTGAGTCAGGTCCTGGTGGTTCAAGCCTGCAATCCTAGCTACTCAGGAGGCTGAGATCTGAGTATCGTGGTTCAAAGCCAGGGCAGGAACATCCGTGAGACTCATCTCCAATGAGCCACCAGAAAACCAGAAGTGGCACTGTGGCTCAAGTGGCAGACGTTAGCTTTGAGCTGAAGAGATGATGAGGGACAGAACCCAGGCCCAGAGTTCAAGCCCCATGACAGACAGACACACACATACCAAAGATGCTAATCAAAATTAACTCCATGCTCTAGAAAGAAGAGGTTTTTCTTTCTTTTTTTAGTATATTGTTTGCAGATATTTCTTTTTTCTTTCATTTCCCCCCCTCTGGTTTATTTCCTGTGGTCACTGTTTTTTTTTTTTTTATTTCAGTACCCTTTGTCTAGTATATAAGCATATCTTATTTGGGGAAGGGAGGGGGAATCACAGAAATGGGACAAAGGATGAAACAATGCAACAACAATAATCACTAGACATTATGCTGGAAATGAACCTTACAACTTGGGGGAGAGTGGAGATAGGGGGAGGAGAAACATGAAATCATGTGAAGCACAGGTACCATAGAACATGGATAAACAGCAGAGGCCTATTTTAGTGATAACATTACTCCTTGCTCATTCGATCCCATACCTGTCACTTCTGCATATGATACAGGATAGAAACAGCTCAGCTCCAAGGATGGAGCAGTTCTAATATTCCTGACCCTGGGTTGGCTATCCAGAGACTATTTCAAACGCTAAAGAGAAAGTGATCAATGTTCTACACAAAACATGAAAGGTGAAATATGACCCTAAAAAATGTAGCCATTCATACCAAATTGGATCCTGAGACCCTGAGATTTGTTAGCGATAATAAAATAATAATAATTATTATTATTAATTTTTTGGTGCTAGTCCTGGAGCTTGAACTCAGGCCTAGGTACTATCCCTGAACATTTTTGTTCAAGGTTAGAGTTCTGCCACGTGGGCCACAGCTGTACTTCTGGCTTTTTGGTGGTTAACTACAGATAAGATTTCACAGACTTTCTTGTTTGGGCTGGCTTTGAACCTCCATCCTCAGATCTCAGATTCCTGAGTAGCAAGTATTAGAGATATGTGCCACCAGCACCTGGCCTTTACTAGAGATTTTTTTTTAAGTGGAAAAATGAAATGAAGTTAAAAACTTGGGAGACATATCCTGGCAATATATTTTCTAGAAATAAAGCATTTTATTTATGGCTAACACCTTGTGATGAGTTAGTCATACTGTATTTAATTTGAGGTAGACAGAAAATCATAAGGTAGGCTAACTTGATAGTGCACATCACTGGTCATGACCATACCCCGTTATGACTCACGTCTGTCGCTAAGATAAATAACATGCCAGTTTCACAATTTACTGCCTGATAGCTCCTCAAGTTCGAGATTTTTCTGACTGACAAGGAACACTGGACTTTCTGTATTTACATACCAATTTATTCCTATAAAGACTCAAATATAATACATCATTTATGAGGGAAATCATCTCAAAATAAGATGAAATTCAAATTTGGAAAAGAATTACATGGCTAGATGAGCAAAAATCCTAACAAAAACAAAATTATTCCTTTGGAAATAAAAACTACATTGTTCCCGCAGTATCTGTGTAGGAATGGTTCTAGGACTACGCCCTTGGATACCAGAATCTATGCAACGTCCTCTGCAGAAACCGCTGTGGGGTTGGGACAAAGCCCAGTGGCAATGCACGTGACAGCGTATGTGAGGCCCCAGTTCAGTCCTCAGGAACTCCCCCAACACACAAACATAGTATCTAACTCATCTTTTCATTACTTATAATAACACAATGCAAGCAGTTGTTACACTGTTTATAAATGTCTATATTATAGCTTTCTATATAATGCAATGGTTTTCTGGTGCTGCAGATCCAAACCAGTGCCTTCCCATGCTAAGCACATACTCTACCACTGAGTAATATACTCATCCTTGAGAAAAGAATTTTTTACATGTTCAGTATAAACAAAATTTTCTTAATTTTTTTCTTCTTTCTTTTTCTTTTGTTTGTTTGTGGTACTGGGGATTAATGTAAGATCTCACACTTACGCAACATCTCTAGTCATTTTGTTTGTATTTCTTTTACATTTATTTAATTAGTTTACTGATATCAATTAGTTGTATAATGGGTGTGTGTGTGTGTGTGTGTGTGTGTGTGCGTGCAAACACATGTTTTCATGTGTGTGCAAATGCCAGTACTGGGGCATAAACTTAGGGCCTAGGTGCTATCTTAAGCTTTTTCACTACCACAGGCCCACTTCTGGCTTTTTGGTAGTTAACTGGAGATAACAGTCTCACAGACTTTCCTGTCTGGGCTGAGACCCCCCAGCTTCCTGACTAGCTAGAATTACAGGCATGAACCACCAACACCTGCTTTTTTTATTTTTATTTTTTATTGTAAAGATACTATACAGAGGGTTACAGTTACATGAGTAAGGTAATGAGTACACTTCCTATTGAGCATTGTTACCCCCTCCATTGTTTTCCCCCTACCATCCCTTCCTTCCCTACCTTCCCCGAGGTTCTTGATTGTGATTAAGTGATTACATAATTTCCTGAATTTCACAGTATTGTGGAATAATGATGCTCATTTAAAGTCACAAGTTCATTCTAACTTTCCTGGAGCAAACTGTCTATCAGTCTATAACATAAAACGGTGTACATATGTTATACACCATACATGTGATCAGCAGCAGTGGTTCGACCAGATGAGTGGGAGTTCTTTATTTCTTAAGTCCTGTTAGTTTTGTCGTATCACCTAACATTTTGGATTTAGCATCCACTTATCAGGGAGACCATGTACCATTTGTCTCTTTGCTCTTGGCTTACCTCGCTCAACATGATTCCTTCTAGCTCCATCCATTTCCCTGCAAATGCCATTATTTTGTCATTTCTAATGGCTGCATAATATTCCATTGTGTATAGATACCACAATTTTTGGATCCATTCATCTGTGGTGGGGCATCTGGGTTGTTTCCATATCCTAGCTATTGTGAAAAGCAGCACCTGCTTTTGAGAATTCTCTTTTCCACATATTCTACATGAGTTTCTCTGAACCATCTGGCACAGTGTAAACAATCAACCAGTGTTCCTTGACTGTGTTCAACAATGTACTACAGTTTGGGTTCCTCCACTTAATCTGTCCTTCTTCCAGACTCACTTTGCAATATCTTTCAAGTCTAAGTACTTAAGAAAAAAATCATCAGGCCATCTAATGAACATATCAAAAGTTTATTTGACTCCTTCATGGAAAATACCTCCAATGCATGTATCCTCTTTCGTCAATACTTAGATTTCAGAAGAGGTTTGGATTGCTGAATGGCCTGTCTCAAAAGAACGTTAACTATCCCTCATGCCTTAAAGGATACCTGCTAGAATACCCTGCTCTCCTCTGAGGGAAAGATGAGAAAAGGAAGATACAGTGAGTGTATGCATGTGGGTGCAGCCCTTCCATACTGGCAGCCACTGGCAAGCTCATTAGCAGGTAGAAGTTGAAGTCTGAGGAACCCTTCAGTACAGTTCAGCTTCCCTGGGTGTTAAAAAGTTGTTTTACATCACTTTTGGGGTTGTGGGGGATCAAACCCAGGGATTCAGGCAAACATTTACCACTGAGCTATATTCTCAGCCTGATAGAATGCTTCAAGGCTATAATAACTCTGCCAAGAGATGTCTTTCTAAAATCTGTATACTTTACAAACACATATTGAACGATATTCATCTTTAGAGCCATAATCTTAAAAAAATAGCATAAAAACCACATATATAAACTCAATCCCCATCTAATGGTTGAGTAATTGAAGGTGAAGATGTATTTACTATAGAACATTTCAGGGCCTTCAACTGGCCAGTGTATGCTATAGGTCTTTAAGAAAGGAATTTAATATGAAATACTTTATAAATTTATTTGCTCATTGAACTTTTTTTCATAGAAACTCCATTGATACTTTATGGGAATGGGGTTGGGGTTGAAAACTCTAGCTCCATTTATCAAAGGACTATTCCAATCACGATTAGAAACTTTACAGCTAGTTTATATGGCATAGCTGGGCCAATCAATATCTGAATCCATAGAGTTACAAATGCCTATGAAGCAAATTCAAGGCTCCAACTTCAAAGTGAACCAATTTGCATGTTTTCCTCAACTCTGGAGTTTTAGCTCTATTTTGGAAGGCAAGGTATATCAAGAAAAACAGAGCTGGAGATGTGGCTTAAATGACAGAACACCAGCCTAGCAACTGTGGGGCAATAAACTCAAAACCCCACAAGGCCACAAAAAAGTATAAATCTTCCTTGAGATAAAATAGGTATTTATACATCAAAGATCAGACAATTCTTAATCAATAAGTAGCACAATAGTGAGATAACAAAGGCACACACTCATTTTCAGTGTAACTGCAAAAACCACCCAAAGACCACTTCCAAGAAAGTTATGAAATTGTATACTCACACACATACACACACTCACATTATAGCTACAAACAGAAATTTTCAAAATTATTCAATTCCCCAGCCTTGAATAAAGAAGTAGTTTTAGTAATGTTTTCTAAAAATGGAAAGAAAAAGACAGTTTTTTGGGAGGACGTGTGTGTGGGGTGTGTGTGTGTGTGTGTGTGTGTGTGTGTGGGTGTGGGTGTGGGTGGGTGGGTGTGGGTGTTGGTATTGGGACTTGAACTCAGGGCCTGGGAGCTGTCCCTGAGCTTTTATTTCTCTTAAGGCTAGTGCACCACCACTTGAGCCATTACCTCCACTTCTGGCTTTTTGGTGGTTACTTGGAGATTAAGAGACTCACAAACTTGAACCAGATCCTCAGTTCTCAGCCTCCTGAGTAGCTAGGATTACAAGTATAAAGCCTGGTTTAGAAGTGCAAGGCAAAGAAAACTCTGGAACTTAAAATGATAGAGGCTCACTTGACTTTGGTGTGGGTTTGGGCCTCTCTCAGGCTCTTTCAGTGTTTTTATCGCCTCCATGTACAGATTATGAAGTAGAAGCAGCAGACAACATTCCCAAAGTAACACAAGGCACGCATCTTTTGTTGTCACAAAATCATCATGACACACAAAGTCTAGAGTGAATACAAAGCTAACGGTCTCCTTGCTAGAATGACTTTGCATCTGCAAGGAGGTAGGTGACTGGAGAGATCACAGTCCTAACTGTGCTCATGCAGTCTTCCCTGAGGAGGAGGCCATTCTGAACAAAGAGCAAAAAGAAGAGCAGCACAGCTGAGTGTTACTGGCCTGTAGTTTACTGAACTCTTGGGCCAGTCACTCTTACAGCTTTCACCATTAGTGCCCTCTGCACAACTTGGATCAAAGGGGATCCTTAAGAAAACTGACTTTCTGAGTCAGTGCTAATGGCTCACGTCTGTAATCCTAGCTACTCAGGAGGCTGAGATCTAAGAGTTGAGATTTGAAGCCAGCCTGGACAGCAAAGTCCTCAACCCTCTTCCTTACCCAGGTGGGAAGAGAAACTTTTGGAAGCTGCTCATTCAACTACACTCAAGACTCCATACCTCAATGGCCTACCCTGTTTTGAACTGGCTTGCATTCCTACCATACCAGTGGTCTTTCAACTTTATGTGTCTCTCTGGGTTTGACTGAAGTCTCACCTAACTAGACCCTTGCAAGGACACTATTAGTAAAGAAAACAGCCCTTCTATCACACAGAAATCTTTACATTTTGGTTGCTATTGTGAGATGAAATTGGCACTCAGACTAGAATGCTCTTCTTGAATTAGAGGGGATCTTTCTACCTTGAAGTATAAAACAGGAGCTACCTGATATCCAGATGCACCCCAGTTCCACCTAGAACATAACTCATGTTCAAAATGAACCCTTTGATAATTAGTACATTCTTTCTTGTGTGTGCTGCTAAAGGGGCTTGAACTCAAGCCCTCATGCCCTTGGTTCAGTTATTTTCCCCCCTCACAGTAGGTGCTCTACCACTTGAACCATACCTTTATTTCTGGTTTTGTGATGATGAATTCTGAGGACTAATTCTGATGGCTAATCAAAGTTTTTCTTGTACTATGCCTGCTGAATGGTGTCTTCCCTAACTCTTCATAATAACATAAAAGCTTCTGAAACAGAGTGAAATCATTAAGGAAATGACTAAGCATACTTTTAGTGTTCAGACTTACAGAGGTGCCCACATTCTGCCAGATGTGAGAGATCCGGTAGCCCATCAGTTCCCCATTCTGACGCTTAATTGGGGGCTTCATCCAGCTGACAGCCACTTTATTACTAGATTCATTCAGAAACACCGTGACATTTAAAGGTGCAGTTGATGGAGCTACAACAAAGCAAAAAAGGGAAAAATGATGAGACACCCACATAGATTCATTCTCATCTTAGTTTTCCAGTGTTTAGTTTTCAACTGTCCTATGGAAAATGAAACCCAAACTATAGTAAATTTCCATCTCCTTTTCAATGATGGACCATTGAGATAACATAAGAGGTTTTTGTTGTTTGTTTTTGTTGTTGTTTTTGTCGGTCATGGGGCTTGAACTCTGGGCCTGAGTGCTGTCCCTCAGATCTTCAGCTCAAGGCAAATGATCTACCATTTGAGCCACAGTGCCACTTCCAGATTTCTGGTGGTTTATTGGAGATAGAGTTTCACGGCCTTTCCTGCTCGGGCTGGCTTTGAACTGCGATCCTCAGATCTCAGCCTCCTGAGTAGCTAGGATTATAAGCGTGAGACTTTAGTGCCTGCTGGTTGGGTGGTTCTTGTGTGTGCATTTGCCAGTCCTGGAACTTGAACTCAGGACTTGGGCACTGACCCTGGGATTTTTCTTTCTTTCTTTCTTTCCTTCATTTTGTTCAAGACCAGTGCTCTACTACTTGAGCTACAGCTCCACTTCTGGCATTTTGCTAATTAGAGATAAGTCTCAAAGCCTTTCCTATCCAGGTTGTCTTTGAAGTACGATGCTCAGATCTCTGCCTCCTGAGTAGCTAGAATTACAGTCCTGAGCCACTAGTGCCCAGCATTATAGGAGTTTTAACACTGGATATTGAGGCCTTAAGATATGTTGTTAAGGGGCTGGGAAGGTGGCTCAGTGGTAGAGGGCTTGCCTTGCATGTATGAGGCCCTGGGTTTGATTCCTCAGCACCACATAAGCAGAAAAAACTAGAAGTGGCACTGTGGCTCAAGTGGTAGAGTGCTAGCCTTGAGCTGAAGAGCTGAGGGACAGCGCCCAGAGTTCAGGCCCCATGACCAACCAAAAAAAAAAAAAAGATACGGTTGTGAAATGGACATACAAAGGACAAAAAGGCAGAGAAGGAGGAGGCTGGTGCTCCTGGATTCCTGAAGCAGCAAAGCTGACAGCTCAAACAGGGTCTTCTAGTAGATCCTGGAGAGGTGTGAAGTCAACAGGACTAATTGGACATAGGTTCTGTGACATTTGAGGTATGCAAGGCAGGGACCACTGGTGAGCACAGAATGAGGCTGTCATTATGAAACTCAGAATCAGATTACTGAACTAAACAGAAATAATCAATCCAGACATTAAAATGTTTATACAGTCATCTTTCAGTATCTACACAAGACTGGTTTCAGAGACACCACAAAAATAGATCTCGTGGATGTGGAAGTCCTCAAATAAAATGGTGCAATATTTGCATAGAACCTACCTACCTCTTTCCATGTGCTTTAAATCATCTTTGGATGAGTTAGAATACATGCTGTGAAGATAGTTGTTACACTGGATGGCAAGAAAACAATCTGTGCAGATGGAATATTTGTGATCTCCAGTTGAATTTGAGGATACTGAGCCCATAGAAATGGAGTGCCAACTGTGTGGTGTGTGTGTATAAAATAATTTAGGAAACAAGATCATTACTTCATCTTTTGGGAATGAGAATCTTGACTATATCTACTCAAACTGAAAACATTATGTTGTTTGACCAGCTTTTTGTTGTTGTTGTTCTACTTGTATTTTCTTTCTAGTGCGAGAGATTGAACTCAGGGCCTTGAACATACTAGGCAAGCTCTCTGCCACTAAGCTATACATTCATTACTTAAGTACTTTATTTCTAAGAATTTAATCTATAGATAGAGATACAATTATTGTAGCATAATAGTAACAAAAAGGAATAAATGTAATGTTGCAGCAATTATAAACGTTGCTACATTTTACAACAAAATACTTGCTACTCACCCACTGAAAAAATTAGGCATATTATGTGTATTAATATGAAAAAATCTAATAAGACAAGGAGAATTGCAGTATTAATCAGTTTAGAAATAAAAATAGTGTTTATAAAGAAAGAATAAAGATTAAATTATATATTCTTGATATGCCTGAAAACAAAAAAAAAATTAGAACCCACTTCATTTCTACTGACTCCAGAAAATGTAATCATGAGTTAACAGGAATATCATATAGCCCAAGGGTTACCTTTGGACTCAGACATACACTTTCAAATCTATTGTAGAATTCATGGATAAGCATAGCTGACTCAGCAGGTCCCCAAATCTCTCTACTGTGACAGTAAGGAATTTAAGAGACATAAACTCAAAAGGAAAAAGGAAAAAAGAGTCAACAGATAAGGAGCAGTTTCAACCCTCTGCTGAGAGGCAGCTGAAGGTCTGTTAATTCAGCAAGCTGATTCTCCCCCGAAAGAACCACTGAGAGGCTCAGAAGCTGAAGGCCAGGTACCAAAATGAGGACTGAAAGTGGGAAACCTGGTTTAATGTTTGGTTGTAAGGCAGCTGCCCAATGAGGACCTTCGATCAAATCTTCACACACCATGCAAGTTCTCCCTGAAATGTCTACAGGAGATGAGTACTTTGTTCTATGAGTTGAAAAACTAGAGATCTTAGGGCACCACTAGAACGTGGAGGCAGAGTGAGGAGACAAAGCAAAGACTGGAGAAGTACAAGTCTGTACCCCAGTGAGGAGGATTCTGCCGCACCTCTCCACTCCCACCAGTCTGTTAGAACATCAGCACCCACATGTGTTCCTATTCCTGAGGCAGGGAGGCAGAAGACTTCTTTATATTCTTCCTATGTAAGGAAGGATTTATTCTTCCTATGTAAGGGAGGATTTACAGAATAGAGGAAAACCAATTTTGAAAGTTGGGGGAATATCTGACTTAATTTACTGCCCAATCATGAGGCAGTGAAACTTACAGGCCCCACCCATGCTCAGAGGTCCAATCAAATTGGGGTGCTACCTCAACTCACTCTTCAATGGGAGAAGACAGAAATCAGAAAAGTTATGTGTGGGAGGGACTTCATGAATGTCAGAGGTCAAGCAGGTAAGATAGAGGGATGGGAAGAGCCAGAGCCAGAGTAGGCAGCTTGAGAAAGCTAGAGAAAGTCCAAACAATAATGAACAGAAAAGCTCATCCCCCAGAACTGGAAAAAATAGCCCAAGGAAAAGAAGTCAGGATTAGGCATGTAGCATTCATATGCTTCGCCCAGTACCACAAAACAAACCTTTAAAATTAGCAATATGTTGGATAAAATAAACTATTTTATGGGAGACGTGGAAAATAAATCAAGTGAATCTCTAAGCAGGTACCATAAAAAAGGCAATTTGAGAAGAGGAAATTGAGGAAGCAACTGAAGAGGTCCAACACTTATCTAAAATAATTTTGGAAGGAAGAAACAAAACAAAATAATAGAGGAATAAATGTTGAAGGAAAAGTCTTTGGACCAAGGGACTTGCATGTCTAGATTAGCAGGGCCAATACCTATGAGAATGACTGAAATAAATGCACATTATAGCTTATCACAGAACTGAAATTAAAGAGAAAAGATCATTTAAAAGAACCAAAATTGAGCCAGGTGCTGCTGGCTCACTTCTGTAATGTACCTATGCAGAAGGCTGAGATCTGAGTATCTCAGTTTGAAGCCAGCCTGGGCAGAAAAGTCAATGAGACTCTTAACTCCAATTACTCACCAAAAATAGTTGGAAGTGGAACTGTGATTCTAGTGGTAGAATGCTAACCTTGAGCAAAAAATAGTTCAGGATAGTACCCAGGCCCCAAGTTCAAGCCCCAGGACCAGCACAAGAAAGGAAGGAAGGAAGGAAGGAAACAATTTATATAGAAAAGTAGCACAAATTCTTGACAGCAACTCATGAAGCAAAAAATTGAGCAGTATCTTTAATTTCTGAGGGAAAAGAATTTCCAACCCAAATTTAATATTTAGAAAAATGAATGCAATCCAGTATGAAATAAAGATATTCCCATTTTTAGTCTTTATTATTTCTTTGTTAGATTGGTCTTTCTATGTTGTCCAAGCTGCCCTCAAATTCGTGGGCTCAAGTTATCTTCCTGCTGTTACCTCCTGCGCGTTGGAACTACAGATACATGCCTGGCTGTATCTACTTTTTATACATACTTTCCTTGGAAGCTAACTGAGAATGAGTTCATTGAAAACAACAGAGTAAACCCAAAATGTAACCAGGTAAAACAACAGAGTCCCTAGAAACTGAAGATTTTTTTTCTGAAGATTCTAGCCTTACATAAGCTAGGGTTAGTGCCAATTTCCACCACCCAATTGGAATAAACCTTTGATCCAAGGAGCATTGAGCAGAACATATTGAATGGTCTTGTTTCAGCATTGGGTAGCAACTGACCCTCGATGAAGCATTACTATAGTGGTGTGTTACAAATGTTAACAGTAAGACCTCAAAGGACTATACTGTGCACCACTAGCTGAACTGTGTCCCAGCCTATTTATAGTGTTTACAATTGAGAATTATGTAGGAGTCAACTTTTACTGTTGAAGTTCATTTCAAATAAGAAAAGGAGATCATTAAACACAAACAACACAAAATCAATGGCCAGAAGTGTGGTACAGAGAATATCTACTGTGAGGTCCTGGGTTCAAAACCCCAGTACCACCAAAAAAGTGCTCAAAATCATTGTTAAGGGAAGAAACAAGAACAAAGAACAAAATACATATTTCCTATAGAAAATTATACAAGCAAGAAGATGGTAGAGAGACACTTTTAACGTACTAAAAGTTAGGAACAAATAACTATGAATATGGAATTCTACATACAGTAAAAATATCTTTGAAAAAGATCTGTGGTTCATTCATGTAATGCCACACACTCAGAAAGTGGAGGGAGAAGGATTGTGGTCTAAAACCCATCTGAAGAAAAGCAGAAGACTCTATCTGAGAAAAAAAGAAAAAGGATTGTCAGAGTGGCTAAGGTAGTAGAGTGCTTTCCTAGTAAATTGTGAGTTCTTTAGTTCAATCCTCAATATCACTAGTAATTAATCAATGAATGAATGAATCAATCAATCAATACCAGGTGAGGCCATAGCTCAGTGTACAAATGAATGCTTAGCATGCATAAAACCCTGGGTTTAGTCATGAATGTGCATGTGTGTTGTACATGTACACACATTCACAGGCCAAAAGTAAAATAAATATTTACTTCAAAGGCAAAATAAATATTCCTCCTTCTCTAGATATCCAGAAGCTAAATTTCCCACTAGCGGATCCCTACCATAAAAAATAATTAAGTGTCCCCTAAGAAGAAGCAAAATTACACCAAATGAAACATGGAGCTACGTGAAAAAACAAATATTACCAGAAATGGCAGTCTACATGGGTAAATGTATGACCAAATAAAATAATAACACATTACACATTTATAACATTCTTTAAAATGATATGTATGCCATCAACCTGAAAAACACAAGGAAGAAAATAGAATTCTATACTATGGTGATGTTTGTATTTGTGCAGTGATATAAATTACTTGAAAGTAAACTGATATGTTTGTTGCAAATTGTAAGGCAACAAAAACAACAGGGAAATTGTGATAGCTAATAAGCCAATGAAGATGATAAAAGAGGACCATAAAGACATTTGATTAGCCCAGAAGAAGGAAGGAACAAATGACTGTTGGAACAACAGAAAACACAATGGATTTCAATCTACCCATTTGTACAATAACCTGGCATTTTAATGGACTAAATACTCCAATTTAAAGGTAAAGACTGTAAATGGAATGAAAAGTAATATAGGAGCTAGGGTACAACTCAGTGATAGAGCATGTGCTTAGCAGGAGGCCTTGAGTTCAATCTCTAGCATCTCTCCCTCATAAAATGTGTGTGTGTGTGTGTGTGTGTGTGTGTGTGCGTGCGTGCGCGTGTGTGAAGTCTGGAGTGCTGACTATCCAGAGATAGAAAAAGGGAAGGAAGGAGCCTATATAAACAGCTAGTGTCCTGCACTGGAAATAAACAGAAGCTAGGTAATCCGAAGTTAATGCCTACAGAAAATAGTTCAAGTCGCTAAAAAATGATTTTATTTATTTATTTTTGTCAGTCGTGGGTCCTGAACTCTGGGCCTGGGCACTGTCCCTCAGCTCTTCAGCTTAAGGAGAGCACTCTACCACTTGAGCCACAGTGCCACTTCTGGCTTTTTCTGCTTATGTGGTGCTGAGGAATCGAACCCAGGGCCTCATGCATGCAAGGC